AATGGCTTAAAATATATGATGTGTTTTAAAGGTAGTGCAGGGTAAGAGGCCCATTGGATGTCATTTACTCCTAAAATACAGCACAACAAAACCCACAGCAGCACTTTTCTAAGTGCCTCAGATAATAGTTTAGAGTAAGTGGAGGGATGGATTGTGTAAAGTGTGACCATATTTTTTGTTCCAGTAACAATTGAGATTTATGATATAAACATGAACTAAAATTGCTGCTGTAAGAAATTCACCATTCAATAACAAATAACAGGGGTCCCTGATAGAAAATACAATTTATAAAATTTTATAAAACTCCAAAAGTGACTGAAATCAACCAGACATTTCCTAAAGTTGCATGCGTCTCAAAATCCTTTCACGTTTTCTTTGCTCAGATTGTCTCACTCCATTATAAAGCACTTTAGGAGCAGATAAAACACATTCAGACCCACTGAACCGTCATTAAGAATTCATGAATTATTGATGGTTTTCAATGTGGGTCAAATTTGAGTTTCTCGTTAGCACTGCCAGCACAGTTTGTTCATATCTGCTGGATTTATAGATGTCAGATATACAGTAAATCCACAGTAGAACTGCTTCATTCATATCTGTCTCAAACACAACACACTGTCAGTGACAATTTTGACATATTTTATATTATATATAATCCATTAAAGCCTGTGTTACGGCCACCGGAGCTGATCGCGGCATATTCTACACTGGACGTGAGCGGCGTGACAAAATTCTATTGTATTTTGTCACGCCGCTCACGTCCAGTGTAGAATAGAACCCATTATAATCAGTGATGTTGTCTACACTGGATGCAGTAAAGTAATGCCTCATTCTATTTATGACGTGCTGACACAAAGTTCAAATGATTTTCAATGGTCACTTTGTCGCATCCTGTTGCGGCACAGACACGGTGTCAGCATAGTTTGTCAGTACAGTCAGTAACGTATCAGAAGCAGATTGAAAAGTTAGTATCTTTCTGCAGTCCAATAGACGGCAGTGCGGTGGTGGCTTGAGTCTGTTGAATGGTGATTTAACGCTACATTGTCACCTAGTTGGAGAGACTCAATACTAAGTAAATAAACAACAATGTCCCCATCTTTTACTCTCACAATGAACTTATCATATTTGTTTGCTACAATAGTAGGGCCCTATGATTTCCGAGATGCAGAAAACATGGATGGAATCGCGGAATCCAGTCATAAAAACGGAATTTACTGTATAACACGGAATTTAATGTATAACGCGGAATTTAATGGAATTTGTCTTATTTTTGATGAATAAATAAAAAACAGGTCAGTACCACACACACACACACACACACACAGGCCTATATATATATATATATATATATATATATAGGCCTGTGTGTGTGTGTGTGTGTGTGTGGTACTGACCTGTTTTTTATTTATTCATCAAAAATAAGACAAATTCCATTAAATTCCGCGTTATACAGTAAATTCCGTTTTTATGACTGGATTCCGCGATTCCATCCATGTTTTCTGCATCTCGGAAATCATAGGGCCCTACTATTGTAGCAAACAAATATGATAAGTTCATTGTGAGAGTAAAAGATGGGGACATTGTTGTTTATTTACTTAGTATTGAGTCTCTCCAACTAGGTGACAATGTAGCGTTAAATCACCATTCAACAGACTCAAGCCACCACCGCACTGCCGTCTATTGGACTGCAGAAAGATACTAACTTTTCAATCTGCTTCTGATACGTTACTGACTGTACTGACAAACTATGCTGACACCGTGTCTGTGCCGCAACAGGATGCGACAAAGTGACCATTGAAAATCATTTGAACTTTGTGTCAGCACGTCATAAATAGAATGAGGCATTACTTTACTGCATCCAGTGTAGACAACATCACTGATTATAATGGGTTCTATTCTACACTGGACGTGAGCGGCGTGACAAAATACAATAGAATTTTGTCACGCCGCTCACGTCCAGTGTAGAATATGCCGCGATCAGCTCCGGTGGCCGTAACACAGGCTTTAATGGATTATATATAATATAAAATATGTCAAAATTGTCACTGACAGTGTGTTGTGTTTGAGACAGATATGAATGAAGCAGTTCTACTGTGGATTTACTGTATATCTGACATCTATAAATCCAGCAGATATGAACAAACTGTGCTGGCAGTGCTAACGAGAAACTCAAATTTGACCCACATTGAAAACCATCAATAATTCATGAATTCTTAATGACGGTTCAGTGGGTCTGAATGTGTTTTATCTGCTCCTAAAGTGCTTTATAATGGAGTGAGACAATCTGAGCAAAGAAAACGTGAAAGGATTTTGAGACGCATGCAACTTTAGGAAATGTCTGGTTGATTTCAGTCACTTTTGGAGTTTTATAAAATTTTATAAATTGTATTTTCTATCAGGGACCCCTGTTATTTGTTATTGAATGGTGAATTTCTTACAGCAGCAATTTTAGTTCATGTTTATATCATAAATCTCAATTGTTACTGGAACAAAAAATATGGTCACACTTTACACAATCCATCCCTCCACTTACTCTAAACTATTATCTGAGGCACTTAGAAAAGTGCTGCTGTGGGTTTTGTTGTGCTGTATTTTAGGAGTAAATGACATCCAATGGGCCTCTTACAACCAATCACAACACACACTGGTCCAGCTAACCAATCACAGCACACACTGACCCAGCTAACCAATCACAGCACACACTGACCCAGCTAACCAATCACAACACACACTGGCCCAGCTAACCAATCACATCCAATAATCACAGTAAGCTTTGTTACTTTTGATTTGAAACAAAGTTTTAGCTTTTAAATTATATCAATTATACCACAAAATACAAACAATACACTGGGTTTTGACAGTCTTTAATGTGGCATCGCTATAGCACATCAGTTCAAGTGGCATGTGAACCGATTATCTCTTCATCTTTACTACTAGTTATTGAGGACAACACTAACTCAGTGCTTAGTTGAGCTGGTCATGTGATCAGCCTCATCGTAATGAGCCTGGATTATATGACAGTGATCCCATCCTGTCCTAATATACACGTCCACATCATCAGGACTGAGGGCCAATCAGAAACGACCGCTGTGTCACAGCAGGACGCCTGTGGGTATTCAAATCAAAGCACTAATTAGTTGAGTCATTCCAATCTGGCTTTGAAAACGCTGGATGTACTGGTTTGCATCACAGTTTAGTCGTGCAGAAGTGCATTTATGCGCTTGTAAAGTTGAGGAATGCAAAAAGTTTGTCCAACTTTTATGTGCAAAGTATGGAAGCCCACTTCTGCCACATAAGAAAAAAAAAAACCATGCTTTGATAAATCATAATTCTGACATAATTGTGAGCCTGTCTGTGAAATCCACGCTAAAGTCTCAAAATCTAATTATGAGATAACAAGCATCAAAGTTTGATTTCAACCATTAATTTCACTATGATTTCAATTTTTGACATGGCCCTACTCAGTCAATATTAAAGATATAAAGGTTATATTTTCACAGAATGTTCTACGTGTTTCTGAAGGATGATTTTATGTAGAAAACCATAAATCACAAAAAAATGACTTTAGCTGGGTTTTCACAGTTTTTTCAAGAGTATGCTATTGTCATCGTTGACAAGTCGTAATTATGAGATAAAAAGATTAAAATCATGTCAAACAGTAAATAAAATAAAAAAATGAACAAAGTTGAAACTGACAAAAAAAAGTCAAATTATGAGATAATTATAACTTTCTAATAGGCCTAAATTCAATTAAAAAACTTCAATCTCAATTTCCACTTTAACGGTGTTATAATTGACCTTCCATCTTTTCATTTTTTTGTCAGAATTTCTAGTTTTTGTCTCTTTTACTTTGTCACAACTACGACTTTTTATCTCATAATTTCGACTTTGTCAATTTACTTTCTATCTGGAGCTTAATTTTTTTTCAGACTTTCTACTTTTTATACCATAACTGACTTCTCATAATTTTTGCCAATTTTGTTTTTCATAATTGTGACTGTCATAAGTGACATTCATTCTCAATCTTAATATAATTTTTTTTGTGCCATAATTCCTTTATCTCCTATTGATAACTTAGAATTTTATCATTTAGATTTGTCATAAATATGACTTAGTATCTCATAATTTCAACTGTCATAATTGACTTTCTATCTTGTAGTTGAACATAAATTTCGACTTTTTTTGCCGTAGCTGACTTTAACAAAAAATGTTTGTCATAATTTAGAATTAGTCATAACCGACTTTCAGTCTCAATTTAAATTCAAATTTTTTCCACCATAATTCCTATTTTTATCTCATTGATGACTTAGTATCTCATAATTGAGATTTACCAAAGCGTGATTTTCTTTTCTTTTGTGGCAGAAATGGGCTTCCATAAGGAAATGTGACTGGTGTTTAGAGTGCAAAGCTCCCTTCAATGAGTACCAGCACATCTTCCTTAATAAAACTCATGTCTCACTCATCAGAAATCATGAAACAAATGAAGACCTGAGATGATATTCGAGCCTGTAAAATGAAGACAGCGTTTGGACGATGCCTGGAATGTGGCAAATTGGATCTTGCCCACCGATGTGACGTGTTTGACGGGAAACGAGTGTGTTATTGTCTGAACCGCTGTGTTTGTTTGCTCTCGACTGAGGTCAAGAGGCAGTGAAAGCGTTATGTAGGTCAAAACAAATCCCAGACATCAGGTGACGGTCAGACTTCCTGAAGACACTCTCATTCGCCCCCTGCTGGCCTGAGCGGCCCCCTGCAGACCGAAGGTTAAACCTCAAATGCATTACAAATAAACAGTGCAATGTTACAAGTGGTTCAAGGTTAATCGATAGGGATGTTACAAATGTTACAAAGTCAACACTCACAAAGATTAATTTCTTGTTAATTCAATATTTTAGAGTTGAGCATGTCTACAAAAATAACTAACGTAACTATTCCTTAATTGGGTAAACCTAAAAAAAAGTGGGTGACATATGAGAGAAATAAAACACAGTAACATCAGATTTTCATGGACTGCTATTTTATTTACAAAAACATCGAGCATAAATGAAAAACGTCGCTCACTGTCATGTGACGTACAAACAAGAGCGCTTCTACACGACATCAGCAGTTAAAAGGAGTACGAAATGAGAAGGGCTGGCGTCCCGCAGCTCACCGCAGGGCTAGAACTTGAACTCTTTGTATTTCTTCGCTCCAGAGCGCGTGTCCTGCGGCTGTGCCTTGCGCTTCTTTTGCTGCAAGGAAGACAGAAGAAAAATATTTCAGGAAACACTGGTAAAAACACATGAACCATTTACAAAGATGATACACAAAACACCTTAGTTTACCAGAGACACTTAAACTGGCTTTACTAGAAAATACATTTTATTGCACCCCTTTTAGTGCAGAAATTAATATGGTGATTTTTTTTCTTTTCTTTATAGCATCCTCTCATAATATATTTTATTATAGCATCCTTTGCAAAGCACTTAAAAAAACATGTAGGTCATTTTTTACCTTAAATCAAGTTAGAAAAATTTGGTGTGAAGGCAAGAAATTCTATTTAGAATTGTAAAATGTAGGGATTTTCATGGCAATTAAGCACATTTAGCCTCAGTGAGATGACAAAAAAAGAAAAAAAAAAGAAACAGAATTAAAAATGTCTGATTATTTATGTACAAATGTATATCTTTTTTAAATAAAAAAAAACTAACAATTATAAAAATATATTTAGAAATTGTGTATATAATCAATTGTGCATATATACTAAAAACAAATATGCATAATAAACAAATGTAATATGTAAATATACAGTGGTGTGAAAAAGTGTTGGCCCCCTTCATTGCAACAACTGCAATCAAGCGTTTGCGATAACTTGTGATGAGTCTGTTACAGCGCTGTGGAGCAATTTTGGTCCACTCATCTATGCAGAATTGTTGTAATTCAGCCACATTGGAGGGTTTTCAAGCATGAACCGCCTTTTTAAGGTCATGCCACAGCATCTCAATAGGATTCAGGTCAGGACTTTGACTAGGCCACTCCAAAGTCTTCATTTTGTTTTTCTTCAGCCATTCAGAGGTGGACTTGCTGGGGTGTTTTGGATCATTGTCCTGCTGCAGAACCCAAGTTCGCTTCAGCTTGAGGTCACGAACAGATGGCCACACCACTGTATATGTAATATAAAAATATGTAGCCTATAAAATTATACAAAAAGTAAAAAAGTAAAGCAGAACGATCATTCATTTAATTGGCTGATTTTGTCTTAATTTAAGCAGACATTTGTCCAAAGCATCTAACAAATGAGGAAAATCATAAGAATTGACATAAAAAATGTTTTTTTTTTTTAAAGCTGTATAGATTCTCTATTTTAATGAGAATGATCATGAACAAAGACAATGGGAATCATGAACTAAGCTCATAACACATCCTTTACGCAATACAATAATGGAAATGTGGAGGACAAAATGTAAACACACCTTAAAAATAATCTTAAATTAATGCACTAATCCAAGATATAACTTCCCGTTTCTTTGTTTTTGCAGAGATCTATGATCAGAAGGTTTATGACTGATTGATCAAACGCATTTTTAGAGCTCCATCTGAACTCACCTTCTGTTTGGCGGCGTGTTCGGCCACCATGTCGCTGAAGTCCTCTTTCTCCACCTGCTGCTCTCTGACGTGCTCCTCGTACTTCTGCGTCATGGCCATGGGGTCGAGCTCCAGCTCCTCCGGCGCCAGAGCCACCTCCACCCCCTGAGAGTCTCCACCCAGCACCGAGACTCCGCCCACCTTCCGGCTCATCACCGTCTGCATGCACCACACGAGAGGACCACGCAATCAGAGGGGAAGCAGCAAGCAAACATGACACACACACACACAAACATCTGTCCAAACTCTCAATGGGTTCTCATGCAACGACTAAACAAGCACATCTGCAGTTGGCTGGGAGTGGAGATGTGAAGTCAGCGCTCCTGCAGAGATATAGACACTGAAATCACCCAGACAGAGAGAACTCTGGGACTCTGGGAT